TTTTCTTAATAACTTCAGGTGCTCAGTGGGGGTGTGGTTTCAGGGAAGGTAAATGTACCAACTTTTTTTTTTGGGGGGGCTACTTACAGCCATCATGCCTTTCTTCATAGCTTCAGCTCCCTTAGGGTCAGTCTTCTTCAGGGCTTCATACTGATCTTGGGCTTCCTGCCACTGTTGCATCACCTGCAAACACAGCAAGATGAGGGTTATAGTCAAGCTGGCCCACCCTGTCTTCCCTATCCTGCACATCAGACAGCAAAAGCAGCCACGGTCAGATTAATCCAAGTGGGGTGAAAAACATCCAAGCACACTGTACTTCTGGGGACAATTTCAAGGGGTAAGAAACATCCAAGCACACTGTACTTCTGGGGACAATTTCAAGGAAGTTGTAGAACAACAATCTGAAACCAGAAGATTGTTGGTTTTTGTCAGATTGAAAGATTTCAAACAGTTAAAGTCCACATTCATGTGATGTGTTCACAGACAAACAAGCACCAATGTACATGTACATGAAGCATTACATGTTTTAGCTCAGAGCTGAGGACACTCCTAACAAGGAAAAACAAGAAAAAAGAACCTGACAGTAATCTAATAGGAAATACTAGCACTGGCCACAGGTGCTTGGATCTAGTGACACACAGTAACCTTGACTGGTGTTCAATTAGTGATAGGGGAATTATTCCAACCTGCATGACTCATCTGTCCCAAGGGGTCGGAGGAAAAGGCACATGTACAAGATGGTATGGTCAGATTGCTGGGTAAAAAAGGGTTTCAAACAAAATGGCTCTCATCTCCACTGAGATGCATATTCTCAGGAAAAAAGTGTAATACCACAGATGCATGTGCTTCCACTATTGTCTATGTCAATCCTCCTGTATTGTTAGATCTTTATGCATACATGTACATACGTGTACATGCTTGGATACATTCATGCATGAACCCCAATGAGTACAGTAGGCAGTACACGGCCATCTACAGTTCCTCCTCAGGAATCAAATGGGATTCAATTAGGAAACTTTCAGACTGTTTCAAGGGGTTCAACAACCATTTCAAGGGGGTACATGGCTAACAACAGCTGAGTAATGGCTTATTAAGAGTGCCTGGTTCCACTTGGAACATGGTCCCTGGATCAGGTGAAGGGCAGCTGCTTACAGGTAGGGCAGCCATGGCTAACAACAGCCGAACAATGGCCTAGGAGTGCTTGGTTCCACTTGGAACATGGTCCCTGGATCAGGTGAAGGGCAGCTGCTTACAGGTAGGGCAGCCATGGCTAACAACAGCCGAACAATGGCCTAGGAGTGCTTGGTTCCACTTGGAACATGGTCCCTGGATCAGGTGAAGGGCAGCTGCTTACAGGTGGGGCAGCCATGGCTAACAACAGCCGAACAATGGCCTAGGAGTGCTTGGTTCCACTTGGAAAGAACTTGGTTCCTGGATTTTATGTGAAGGGTAGGGGTTAACTGCTTAGGACAACCAAAAGTCAGGTTGGCTTGATGGTTCTTTCCTTGCCTTTCATCTCTATGGTCCGGGTTCAATTCCCGGCTCGGTCCATATATGGATTGGGTTTTCAGTCTCTACATGTACCTAATTCTGTGGGTTTTACCCAGAATATTCCTCTGGGGTTTTACTCCCACCTCAAAAACTGTAACTGCTTCTCATTGTCTCCTCTCTGCAGGTTTCTGCAGGCTTACAAGCTACAGTGCCTGGGGGACTTTTGAGGAATCCTTGGTGTCATTACCAGAAATAATTAATTATAATAAAGATAATGTCCACATGAGGTAAGAGGTACATGTACCACAAGTATATGTACATTGTTAATGTACTAATTGAAAGCCTCAAAGTGACTAATGCCAGAACCGCATGAACCATGACTGATGAGTGGGGATTGGGGAAGGTCAATGCAAGAATATCCAGAGAGGGGTAGTGGAGCTACACGGCTGTAGGACAACCAATCTAGAAGACGGTGCTTCCAATAATCCACCAGCAACTGACAACGGGCAGCTTTACGTATATCCTGAATACACCTGCTCTTCCTAGTTACAAAAAATCTTTTGTATTAAATTTTGTAAATTTTTAAATTCAGCGAAAGTGGAATTCAACAACCAAGATTTACCGCTTACAATACAAGCAAAAGGATGGAACAATATACATGTATGTGTAATTAAAAAGCTAATTTAATTTTGAAAATACCGGTATTGAAAAAGTTGTAAATAATTGTTAATTGCTGAAAATAGAACACAGTTATTGAGCAAGACTAACTTTGCCCAGTGTTTCTTTCGTTGTTGGGAAAAGTTGGAGACATTTGGACAAAATTTTAGGAAAGCATCCGACAGTCAACTGAATAAATCCTCGAGAGATACCGATGCTGTCATCTAATGATCTAATTGGTAAATGAACCATATACAGTACCAGTATATTCCAAATGAAATTTAACCTGGCAATGGGAAATTCTTATCTCAGGAAATTCCTTTTCACTTCACAGTGTGTGAAAAACGTCTCCCAAAGTGGGATAAGATATTTACAGATTTTCCCACAAGTAGTATAATATTTCCACACGTCTTTTTTAGACAAGTGCAGGCTTCAACCTTACATGTAAATGTAAGCTTCAGACATGTCAGAGGGTCAAAGCCACTTGGCCTTGAATGCTCCCCAAAACCAAAGGGCACCAAGGCCAATTGAAAGAGCACCAAGGCCAGTTTGAAACGTTTACTAACATTATGCTTGTTGGTGACTTTAACAGACTTTCCTTCAATTTCAACATGGCGTTTAAATTTCAACTTGCATCTGTCATTGTTTTTGTTCACATGCTAAGCAGTCAGCCTGAATTGTAAAAATAAAAATGCATAATAGTGTCATACATGTAACTTTGATTTACCATTTGGTGTTGTGTCTTATTACTTTCCATGATGCCATTAAGGAAACACTGTGTTTTGAAAATTAATATAATTACATGTACTCACAAACAATGCAATTCAAGCGAGTCGGTCACTGATATTTATCCGATAAAAGCCCACTGTCATGCCCAGCGCCCGCATGAATACCAATAAAATAACGAAGAAAAAAACAAACTGGGTCGTATTCCCGTTCGCAATCCCAAAATGATAGTGACTTGGTCTCAATAATATGCAATGTACAGAATCCAATCGGTGCAGAATGTGTAATTCTGTGCTGCGACTTGTAACCAGTCTATGTGTAAAAAGTAGTCTGGTGCCATTTTTTAGAGTCACACAACTCAACTACATGTACGTTGATATGGTTGCTATACCATGTTGTCTGCAGGGCCATGCAAAACCAGTCCGTAAATAACATAGTGCTCAGTAGTACTGTTCAGTGCAGCTGCTGGTCGTTGACAGAAATGCTAGCACTAAATGGTAACTTGAAAGTTGAATACGACTCTAAAAACTGGTACATGTAGGCATACTGATCTTTGAAGAGGGGCACGGCACGTCAGCCGAGTGGCCGAAAGGTATGCACTATTTTTAAGGGACATCATGGCAATTTACTCGAGCATAGCAGCAGCCGCTGTAAAGATCAAAGCCTGCAAGTGGGAAATCATTTTCAGGCCTTTCAAAATGTGAATGCAAGAGTGAATTCCGGTGCAGATCTCATTCCAGTGACAACTTTCAATTGCAATGTCCTCTATATACCGGTACATGTGAGGGTGGAGGGGTTGATCAGCCCTCGTTATATAGATGTAGGTACCCACCTGTGTCCTCTTACGATCCTCTTGTTCCTCCAATCTTTCCTTTGCTTCCTCATAAGCTTCTCTCTCCTCATCAGCCCCAGGGACATGCTGGAAGTATGGGTCATCTGGTATTGGGTTTGTCTCAGGGTCTGCCACAGGCTCTGCTGTAGGGGCTGCCACAGGGTCTGTCTCAGGGTCTTGTTCTGCCTCTGGCTCTACAGGTTCCACCTCTGGTTTTGGTTCGGCTACCTGGGGCTTTTGTGGGACTGGCTCCGTCTCTGTCATGCACAAATTGGAAAAAGACTAACTTTTTGATTTGATTGTTGGTGACAGGTGCCCTTCAGTTATCAGAGGGGAAATAAGAGTTTCTTTACAAAATCCTGAATCCTCTAATATCGGTATTTTCTTCAAATATCCTAGTATATACTATGAACATCTCTAACCACATAGAAGTCCCTTATCACACCACCCTGCCATGTCTTTTTGCTGATTGTTTTTCAAGCCTTTTTTCCTTGAATGGCATTTCTTGAAATGTCCCCTCTAACTTTCCCTTTAGAGTGGCTCTTTCTTATCCATGACAATTTGTTTGACTCGACAACCCCCCCCCAGTCTGCCCATTGTTAATGGCTGGGGTTACATGTACATGAAGAAAATCCCAAACAGGGTTAGACCCATTACTCCCAGGTAGAAAATGTCTGCCAAAAACCCCTTGGGGACAACTTTTACAGCAAAATGGAATGGTAAAGGATTTTTAATGGATAAAGATGTTCATAGTGCTTGGGGTTAGAATGAACCACTGCAGAATTACGGTGTGTCTATACATACATATTATTAACCATAAACACCTTTTTTGCTAGCAATCTTCCCCATCCTTGCAAAACTCACTTCCACACAGCAAACTCTGCATTTGTGGTATATGTACATGTATGCCTAATCCCACATAAAACACAGCCAGTATACCTGCGCAGTACTCAACCTAACAGATTCCAACAAATGCTAGAGTTTGGCTAGTTGGGGATTGTAAGAGTTAAAGCTTTCAATGCATAGATTCAGTAGTGATTGAAAATCAAGATTACCAATCTACAAGTTTGGCTAGTACAGCCAAGTGCATCAAACAGGCATGTCCACATCTATACAAGTGTCATGCTGACTTCCTACTACAAATTCTCTGCTTGAAACTAAGCTTGGTGAACCAATAGTTGAGCAGACAGCTGGTCCTTAAAGATCACAGAAACATCCATGGGCACCACTGGCAAATTATTTCAATTTCCAGACAGTCTTTCAGAGGTACAATCTATATAGAATTTAGTCTCGTGGGAACTACAAACACCTGTTATTCTATATTTAGACTTTTTCCTCAATGTCTTTGATTTGTCATCATTCCTTCATAACTGCACGCAAATGATAAGAGTAAAGATGTACTGTACATGGGTGCACATGTCACATTTGTCAAATGCAATACCGGCTCCACCTAACCAAAGAGCCGCACACCTCTGTCAAAAACCAACCAGTACAGTAGCAGCTGTCTAATCTGATTTCCTGCCAATGGCTGGTTGATACTAGTCAGTTGCATGAAGTGTAGGAGTACTGTCCAAGTAACATTGCCACACTGGGGACTGCAGAGTAGGCAATTTATAGGTATTGTGGTAGGCTGCAAAATGTCAGATACACTCTACATGTAGCCACATGGGAATGCAAGATGGGGAATGGAAGTGAATCATGTGTATGAAAATATACAGTAGCATGTACATGTACAGTACACCTTGAAAATTCAAGACATTCACAGAGGGCAGGGAAACTTGAGCTAACAAGTAAAGAGCTACACCATTATCTTAACCCTAACACTCCTCAATCCTTCACCTGTTGGAGGACTGAGGACTGTTAGGGTTAATATATTACTGTTCCTACCAATTACCAGTACACACATGCACATATACGTAAAACAAAACAAAGAGATAAGACACAGTAATTAGAGTCTCAGTACATGTAGCTTCGGGTAAGAATTCCTGCATTTTCATTTCAAAAACATATGGAATCAATTAGCATGTTCATAAAAATAGAGAGCATTTCATTCTTAATTCTTGAATCCTTCTTGCAAATTATTTACTCTGAACTGCTCAAGTGCAGTTTGTGAGATTGAAAATGCGCACAGGTGTATGTATATGTTCATCAAAACAAATCATTCAGCCACATTACACGGAACCACAGGGATTACATGTTTGAACTCTAGGCTCACTGGGGAAAAAACACACAAGGACAAGGTCATTGTCTTCTCACTTTCAACAGGAAATTTGCTTTAATCTGATAAGATCTAAGTCCTTTCATTACTTTCCCGATAATAACACCTTGAGACACTGTCTCGCACTTCACAACAGTGAAATGCTCTTCCCCAAAACTGGCCAAAATTTATTGATGGTGGGGTTCCGCAGGCAAAAAGTGAAATGAAAACGTGTAATGCGATATCCTCTGTTGTGTAGGGGCTGCGGGAAGTTATTTCCCTACAGATCACCCACGGACGATCAGTGTGACCAATGCCACGCTCAGAGGAACAGAATAGCGAGATTGGAAAGACATAGTCATTACTTCCTGGCTGAAATCGGATACTGTGATTGTAACCTGCCAACTCTGAGTGTTCCTGTGTGATCTGCAAAGGATGCAATTAATTGAGGGCTCAGAAAAGCAAAAGCTGGTGTCTTATTATGAAAGATGTGGGGGTTATTGTCCACGTTTGTCAGGGCACTGCAACCAATGATCGTGATTCATGACACCTCAGAGGAAGAGTTGTTTGACAGGTGCAGATTCCTTTGTGGACAAATTTCTTTGGGGCATTCCTGTATTGGTGGGTTTTGTGGCGAAAAGGTACACGTATATGTAGAAGACATCTGATTGATACTTTTAATGTTTAATTATATCTCCCAGTACGGTAGGTCATCTACTCTAGCAAACACAAAACAACCAAAGTAAAGAAAAGAATTTCACACAACCAGAACTGCAACATAACAGGCAAAGAAAAATTCAATGACAGAAAAACATGTGACACAATGTAACTTGCTCACATTCTTTCAACTAAAATACATCTTTCCCCTTCCAAAGAAATACCAAGAACAAGAACCCCTAATTTACCTTCTGAGATTTCAGGTTCGCTGACTTTCTTGGACTTCTTTGCCTTAGGGGGGCAGCAGACAAACTCCACCCCAGTGAAGAGATCAACCTCATCCCTGCAAGGTAACAACATGCCGTAATCTTGGACTGTCTTATCGGTGGCAGCACACTGCTTCTCAGCCAGGCTATGTAGCTCACTCTTGGGTTTGCAGACTTCACTGTCGTGGATGTGTTCAAAGTTGCAGTCTTTGGGTACCATCAGAGCCTTACTCTCAAACTCACCAACTGTGGGCAGACAGAATAAGTAAATTGGACAGGAAATCTAGAGCCAACAAATTTTACGAAGCAACAGAAATGTGCAGAGCTTAAGACATTTTCTCATTGACAGGAATCAACCTACAGTAGCTGCAGGAATACTGGTACATGTACATGTAGGCTAAACTGAAAACACGATGAAAACACGGTGATGATGATTTCGCCATGTGCGGCAGTATGTATCCCATCCCATGAAGGCAACGTACGCAATACGGACACAAGAACATGTTGCCAAAGTGAATTGGATCACATCATTATGGTGTAGGGGTCTATCCTTAGAACAATTTACCAGCAATTCACGCCTGAAATAATATCTTTAAAATTAACACAAATGAAATATGATATATTGATAAAATCGATACAAAAACTGGATAAATCGGTATCGGTCAAAAGATAATATCAACGGTGCCTATCTGGCTTCACTGAAAGTATCAAGTGTGACTTCAATGAAAGTGACCAGTACCCACTTAGATACTGTACATGAAAGTGACCAGCGTGACTTTAATGAATGTGACCCGTAGGACTTCAGCTAAAGTGATTAACCAATGACCACCATCATAACTGCTCTGGTTCGTTGCTATGCAGTATGCAATAAGCTCATTTCTTTGCTGTAGGCTAAGAAGCCGAACCTGGTGTTGGCTCAGCCTTTCCAGGTACATGTAGGATTTGCTAAGCTTTTGTTAATGATTATTTTTGTTGTCAGTAACAGAGGATGGAGCGTATCAAACATGTACTGGTACAGTACTTTGCCTCTCCTCTTTGTGGGCGCAGGTTCTAATCCCAACCAAATCAATATTCAGAAATTCAACAGTCCTTACATGGCATAATTAAAAGTTATTTTCATAGTCTCCCGGGTGTTTTCAGCAAAACCAAAATATTTCCTTAGTTCATTAACTGAGACCCAAACCAAATTGAATGTTTTCCCAAAAACACGTCAAGAAGGGCTGCCGCAGAAACTATTCACTAAACAAGAAGACTTCTTTCACTGGCCCCCTGCTGCTTAGGCGGTACTCTGCCTCTCCTTCCTCCCTCAACCCCATTAAGGAAGAGCTCAACGGGTGTTTACCCAGACAACTATAGGTGAGAACACTGAATGTCTCAGTGCATCCTTCGGGAATGTCTGGGGCATCCATGGGGCACCAGTGGCTGATCTCAACCTCATCGTCTGAATCTTCAATGTTGTTGACATCGATATCACTGTACACCTGCAGGAGATCCAAATACAACGACAAGTTGATGAACAATGACTGCTTGCCCAGACACAGTACAGGTAGCAACACTGTGCACATGTCATATAGCCTATTACTCATTATTCACCAGATAACAGTTAAAAAGAAAAAGAAAATCAGGTATACTGTACATTTCACATTTAGACAAGTTTCCTCAATTGAATAATTCATTGTAATATGGTTTACAACATTCCCACAAATGTACATGTATACATAAGGAGGGAATTTACGTTTTATTTGAACAAACGTTTAGAAAACTTTCCCATACTGTTTAAACATCCCACCGTTACCACAGTGTGATTGAAAACTTTAACCACTTGCTGCTGGGGAGCCCGGTTTCGGGAATAAAATTCTTAACATATAGCCGGGGTCTCTGAAATCAGACAAAGGGAACTGGGCCTTGTACCAAATGACCGTACTTGTAACAAAAGACCTGGCTGCTGGGCATTACCAACACTTTTTCACTGTCAATAGTAGAGATGATCCAGCATTGTTTTGAAACAGTAAACCACTGTTTGGGAAATTCAGCAACATGTATGATTATGCCCCTTCCCTATACACCTGCCGGCCCGCGGCCGGCCGCCTGCGCTGCACCTGTCTGTATATGTATATGTATGCTGCGCTGATATGTGTTAGGCGCTATCCGACGATCTGCACCATCGTGCGATTGCATTGCGCTATCAGTAGATATTGCATGAATTCTTCAACTTTACTTCCCCTTTTGGCAACAATCTTCCATAAATGTTAACTAGAAACAAAGGGCAATTAGCTGATGTAGAAATTATTGCCAAAGATCGACAGACCGCAGGCCTCAAAATCATGTCATCATGGACATCACCTTATTGCACCCAACACATGGTTGTGCATAGCATACAGTGTACATGTACATGTAGGATGCCACCAACAATGGAACCAAGTTAGTTTGAGAATTTGTCTATTGATTTGCTTTGAGTTTGCTTGTTAAAAAAACGGGTGGCCAAAAGGATCAAAATCAGCCAAATGGGACAAAATTAATTGTACAATTAAAGTATTATATGATGGAACCAAATTTGTTTAAGAATTTTTGTAATGATTTGCGTTTAGCTTCGTTGTTAAAAATTGAAGTAAACTGTTGGCGACCTTTGGTTTCGCCAATTTGTTTTCTTTTTTTAAATCAGTCAATTCGTATTTTAATTTACTGTTGTCATTTTGGGAACCTTTTTGGGGCATATTGTTTACAAATGTTGGTTATTTATTTTTAAATAATTTCTTTTATGAATGTTTTTTGTGTTTGTTTTGTGCTTTACTATTTACATTTTGATAAGAAAATGTTGTTTGCTAGTAATTTTGTATTTTGGGGGAATTTCATTTCAGTGACATATTACTTCAAATTTTTGCAATTTAATTTTTTAATAATTTGTTTCGTAAATAGTTTTTGATGTTAATTTTGTGTTTTATTACTTAAAGTTTTAATAAGAAAATGCGGTTCGCTTGTAATTGTTTATCTTTGTTAAAATTAATTTTGGCCTTTTGGCCGCCCATACAAAAGCGCTCCACCATTGCAGCGATGAGCCACACAGTACCGCTGCTCGCTAATGGCCCCTATTGAAAAGAGGTCAGCAGCGCACTGTGCCAGTTTTGTGAACAAAAGAAAATTACATAACACTGTACAATCTGGTCTCTTTTTACAAGGCGGCAGGCCTGGCTGAAATACTCCAGCGTCAATAGATGTTGTCTGTCAGATTAGAGTAGAAAGCAGACAGTCTTTTGCGTGGATGTTAGTGTCCAGTAAATGAAGATATGAAATTTCAACGCATTTTGGAAAACAGAAAAAAATGAAAAAGATCCTGTCCCAGCAGAATCAATGTTAAAAAATGCCTCCAACGCAATGTGGCTAAACAATTACGTACAATGCAAATGGTTGACACTACGGTAAGTTCCAGTGATGACTTTATGGTATTCCTTTGATATAAGTGAGCAGTAAAGTATTCTGAAAATCAGATTACATATTACAAGTATTATTTACAATAACAATAAATGCTAAATTGCATCAGTCAACATGCCATAACCTCTAAAAGAGATTATTCCATTTGAACTTTGGGAAAATCTGTAAACGAGTTTGGAACTTTTTTCGTTTTAAACATATAAACGTCCAATCCTTAACATGTACATGTACATGTATGTGGCCAACTGTTTCACATCTTAAGAAGAAATAAATTATCCCATTTCAACGCATATTTCTGAATAAAAAGTCAAACAAAGCCTGACTCGAGCATGCATCAACCAGTACTATGCACACCCAAAGATATCACAGCTGCACATATTCATAACTTGACACATGACATTTCCAATATCGCTGCTACTGGTCATGCTGGTACATGTACATGTACCTTAGCTGAATATCCTGATGGCTGTAATGAGATTGATGCAGGTGTTTCACACATCTCAGCACAACATAGTTTAGCCTACTGATACATCACACATCTCGGTAATTAGTTTTCTAAATACACTGACAAATCACAAACTTGTACAACAGCTTTCCAGATGTGTGACGCAGCCAACAAAATGCTGATCCAAAATGTGTCATTCATTTCAGCTTCACTGACTTAGGTCAACTACATGTACATGTACTGGAACAATTAATGTA